AAAATTTTTGGAAGACCAAGAAGGTGAAAGAAAGTTTGTTTTTGGTTCAGAGGATATTAAGTATAAAAAAAAGTAGTCTATGCTTTTAGTAAAATAATTTATCTCTGGTTTAACATCTGTAAATTTATTCTTTTTTTTACGGATTCTAAAATTAATAACTACAACTATAATTTTTCTGTAAATTAAGCAAATAAAAGTATCAGGAAGAAAAATTGTTCACAGCCCAAGAGTTTGATAGACAATATAACCAACAATGAACTTATGGACGCAATTCTAAATGAGGTCTCTTCAATCGAATCTAATTTTGATCCAAGTGATTGGTATCAAATAGAAGTCTCTGAAAATCCAGTAACTGCAAAAATTCCAAAAGATATTTATATTGGTAATAATTCACTTACTGCTACAGCATGTGATATATCGCCAAATATTTTACAGAAGGTAACAAATGCAATTCTATACCAATCAGGTTTTGATCTTAAAAATGTTAAGAGCAGCCAGTCTACTGCTTATAGAAAAATGAAAAAAGAAAATGAAAAAATATCCATTATTACAAAAGATAATACTAAGGTAGCCATTGATGCATCTCCATATCCATGTATAATTCATTTTGATGACAAGACCTTGTTTGAGCTAAACAAAGGAAAAGTATTAAAGAATGATAAAATGGCTGTTTTAGTTAGCATTAATGGAGAGACTTACTTACTCGGAGTACCTTGATGAAGATCAGTTCTTAGGTGTAACGAATTTAATTAATGAGTATCAACTTACGTAAAAAACTAGATGAATATGCTTTGATACAACGTCATCCAATACTGGAACAAATAAAGAATCAGTTTCCATAATATCTAAAGAACCAGTTAAGTATCTTCTCCAAATAATCTGTAGATATCACATGACTGAATTAAGAATGCTTCATTTTTGGAAATATATATAATAGTGACCAAAGACAAAACTAATGGACCTGATAATCCTCTTTTCAAAAAGTTAAAAAATATTTTTGAAGAAGCTAATTTTAATTATAATCCAGTTCAACTGTTACAATTTGATTGAAATGAGCTTAAAAGCTCTCCTCAAAAAAAGTCATTGACATTTTGCAGAGCTTATGTTGTAAACCAGGTATTATGTTGGTAAACCAGATGATAGAAGTAAGATTGCAGAATTAGTTGTCATTTTTTTTAATCCCTTTTATAAAGTAAGAAAAACTGGTGCTATTTGCAAGATTTTTACGAAAAGCAATTTATTATCTAATGCTTTAACTTCTATCAAATCAACTTGTGTTTGTTCAAGAAAATGATAATCTGAAAACTGAAAATAAGCTTATATAATAATTTATTGTTTGCTTTTATGCAAAACGGTATCTACAACCTGAGGGTGTCATTAAAGCTCCGTTTTATGATCTTATGGTTATACATTTAAATGCATCTGTACAAGAATGTATAAACCCAATAGCTGCTGATGCTGTATTAGAGTTTCAGTATATTTTGCCTTCTCCTCTAATGTTAATTCTAATTAATATTATAGGTGAAGGAAAAATTCGAATTAATATTATAGGTGAAGGCAAAAATTGCATCAAGAATTCTGTCATTTGATATGTCTAGCTTTGACTACTATAAGCCTGAGAACAAAGTAAAAGTTGATATCAAGAAAATTTATAAAATGGATACAAATATTGAAAAAAAAACACCTTCTTTGTCTGTCTTGGTTAACAATTTTTCTCACCTGATTTTTGACATTATTGGGCTTAATAAACAACAAGTTTAAAACTGGTTTTCACTATCATTAAACTATTGCCATACTCAGTCATACTTCAAAAGTTTTCAAAAATATACTGAAACTTTGATTTTTGTAAATGACCATTCAAAATGGTCTATAGGTATGATGGGACAGTATATTCACAGATATCACCAAAACAAAAATCCAATTTCAAAAAGTAAATTTAATGATGGTTTTGGTGTGATACAGAAAAAGAGAAAGAGATTAAGATAAAGAGATAAACTTGATAATTGAATTAGACTGTAAAATTTTTTTTTTTTTGTTATAAAATTTCAAATATACATTTATCTTTTTATTTACCGTTATTTATTTTAACTTTTCAATATAAATAAATAGCAGTTTTTTAAATATAGGTAACTAACATTCCATTGGTCACAGCTAACTACTGCTTATACTTTTTGGTAGAATTTTAACAATATTATTAATATATTTAAACAGTATATTAATAAGTAACTATTTAACAAGTAACTAATAATTACTAAAAAATGTCTAATAAGTGTGATTTAGAGAGAAAAAAAAAAAAAAAAAAAAAAAAAAAAATATATATATATATATATATATATATATATATATATATATATATATATATATATATATATATATATATACTCTTGCATGGTAGTTGAAAAGAGTTTCCCATAAACTGTAGTTTTAAAGAGCGCGTTAATAAACCAGACCAGAAAAAGTTTAAAAACTTGAATTTTTTTTTTTTAAATGATAGACTGCCTGCCCAAACCAAACCCTCAGTCGATGTAGCAGCACTGCCTTGCGAGTCAGGCTATTTGTCAGTCGTTGTAGCAGCACTCCCTTGCGAGTCAGGCTATTCGTCAGTCGATGTAGTAGCACTCTGTTGCGAGTCAGGCTGTTTGTCAGTCAATGTAGCAGCACTCTGTTGCGAGTCAGGCTATTTGTCAGTCGATGTAGCAGCACTCCGTTGCGAGTCAGGCTATAAGATAGTCGATGTAGCAACATTTACGCATGTTTTAAAAATGTTTTTTAATAAAATAAAAATAAAAACATCACTAATAAAAAAAAACTTTCTAGTCTTTATAATTGCGGTTTTTTAAAAAATTTTTAAAAAACAATAAAATTTAATGTACTTCCGCATTAATTTAATTCCTTTGACATTTCGACGACAATCAAATACAGCTTAAGAGACGAGGTAATTAAAATTGTAGTCGTAAGAGACTTTTTTTACATTAAAACGCTCTTTCAACTACACTATATGGATATATATATATATATATATATATATATATATATATATATATATATATATATATATATATATATATATATATTGTATATATATATTTATTTATATATATATATATATATATATATATATATATATATATATATATATATATATATATATATATATATATATATATATATATATATATATATATATATATATATATATATATATATATATATATATATATAATGCATTGATGAAAATAAGCAGCAACAATCCGCTAATGCGGATTGATGCTGCTTATTTTCATCAATGCTTTTTTGGTGTTGATGCATTCGTGTGTTTACTTTCATTTTAGTTTCGCCTACATACACTTTTGAACAGTTGCATTTGATTATATATGTTCCCGGTTGACTGTTATTAGGTAATTTTGATTTATTTTTTGATGTTAACAGGGATCTTAAGTTTGGGTTTGGTTTGAATACCGCTCTGTAACCAGCTTTTCGGAATATTTTCCTAAGTTTTGGTGATAGACCGGGTACCCATGGTAAGGAAACTACAGGATAATTATTGATTTCAGATGGAATTGTAATTTTATTTTGTCTTTTGTGTTGAAACTGATGCGCAATATTCATCATTTGAGTTTTATCGTAACCATTTTCAATAAACACGTCGATTAGAAAATTTATTTCATTTTGCAAGTAAGACTTACTACATCGACGTGTTTATTGAAAATGGTTATGATAAAACTCAAATGATGAATATTGCGCATCAGTTTCAACACAAAAGACAAAATAAAATTACAATTCCATCTGAAATCAATAATTATCCTGTAGTTTCCTTACCATGGGTACCCGGTCTCTCATGTGTGCTACTTTCTGATACTACTCAATACACCTTCAAACATTTACATCACATCTTTGGCAACTAGCTGACACATGTGTGCTACAAAACATGGCAACAACCTAACTGATCTTTCAACGCAAACAGTGTGAGCTTCACTATAATTCCCTTCTTCATTTTCTAACTATAAATTTTAAGGATTACTTTCATTTGATCTTGTGCATTTTGGAAAATATTTGAAGCCTTTGTTATGTTCTTTCCCTGATCTGTGCAAGTTGCATTGATATCATTAGCACATTTTCCAATTTTTCCAATCACATTACCCAATTGACCAGTGAAATTTTTGCCAAGCTGTCGACATTCTTGTGTAATTATGCCTAAGGTTCTATCAACTATTTCCCTATACTTGATATATCTGCATCTAACTCCAAACATGTTTCTTCCATATCGCAACGCACTATCAAACATCAACAACATAAGAAAATTTTGAGTCTCTTGTTATTATTTCTTCTCTTATTAGCAAAAAATATTTTCAAATGGATACAGGATGAAGCATTTCATGCTGTGACAATTTATAAACATTTTAAATTCTTTGAGTGCATTTTTCACTAAAGACATTTTAGCATCAGCAGCTGATGCTAAAAACAATGCATTACTTCTCTTACTAATTAATTTACATCAACGTCTAGCTTGATTTATTTAATTGAGTCTCATCGCCATTGATGATGTCATCGCCATTCTAATGTCTCATAACTGGTGTTGCTTCAACTAATTCAATTTCGATTTTTCTTTGTGTTTTTTCTCTGTGTTTTCAAAGAAATATTTTAGGTTATTTAATTCGCTTTTGTACAATTTTTTGTACATTTTACATTTTCCTCCTTCTTTACTAATTTTAAATTAACTTTTCATTTGTTCATTTAATAAATTATTCTCCATTTTCTGCTGACATAAAATATAAACATATAATATGTGCAATTTTATGTCAGCAGAAAATAATTCAGACACAAAATTATCTAAAAATACATAGATAGAAAATATGTAGCACATATTTTACATCAGCATGTCTACAGACCTGTCAGACATATAATGTAGTAACAACCTGTGCGTGTATTAAGAACTTTAAAATATAAATTATAAACTTTGAATATAAGAAATAAGTTCTTGACTGAAATAAACATCTTACCAACTTCCAACATAGTATATCAATCCATTCTTGCCTTTCGATGTCACTAACAGCATAAACATAGTAAACACGATAAGGCATATGAATTCTATAGATAAATAAATTAAAATAAAACAACAAACAATCTAATAAATACTTTTATTTTTTCTAATTATGTTGAAAATTACCTAAAGGCATAATTTTTCCC